CACTTTCCACAAGTGCGGCCCTTTTTGGCTCCCTGGTTTGGGATCAGCGGGCTTGGCCCGTTTGGCTGCCGGCTGGAATTGTGCCGGTCGCTGATCCCTCCCATGAGACTCAGCCTCCTCCCTAGCCTGGGTCTCTAGCTCGATCTCCCTCTTCCGGGCATTTTCCTGAAGCTCAGCAAATGTCCGGTATGAGGAGTTCGCCACGAACTCCCGAATGTCCCGTCTCAAAATACTCAAATATCGACTCATACGTGCCTGCTTAGTGGACACGTGCTCAGGGCAGAACATCGCTCTCTCGTGAAACATCCTGGTGATCACTGTAACAGACTCAGTGCCCTGCTTGAGGGTCAGAAACTCCTAGGCCAAACGCTCCCTCTCCACCTGGGGAACGTACTCATCTCGGAACATGGCAGTGAACCTTTCCCAGGTCACTGCCGCAAGCTCAGCAGGCAAAAAGTGTGTTGTGACAAACTTCCACCAGTCCTTCGCTCCCAAGCGAAGCTGGTTCAGCGCGAACCGTACTCTCAAATGCTCAGGAGATGAGCAAGTGAAGAAACACCCCTCTATGTCAGAAATCCATCTCATGGCCGCCACCGAGTCCTGGGTCCCATCAAACTCCGGTGGTTTCGTGTTGCTGAACTCCCGGAACAGCAACGCGTCACCACCCTGCGGCCTAGCAGCAGCAACAGCTGCAGTGGCCGCCGCAACCGCAGCCTCAGAAAGAGCGCATAACGCTCGTCGAAGGTCTCGATCAGCGCGGTCTTAATAGACCCGAACATCTCTGGTATCTCTGCCCTGATGACCGCAGCCACCTCCTCATGAATGATCTGTCGGATCTCCTCATCACTAGCCCCGACACCCTCCGGCATATGACGTGTCCTCACCATGATCAACCTCTGAAATACAACATACGATAAATTAGAATCCGCTCGAGCATACTCACACTCGACAACCCATCCCTCCTTGATTCTTGGTATTCCGAAGATTCTTATTGGACCGTGCACCGCCCCGGTGCTTTCAGTAGTACGGGCCCAATACTACTGTCCACACCGTCTCAGTACACACCCCAAATCCTCCTCTTCGGATCCCAAATTCCAAGTACTCTATCACTCTCTAACAGATCTCTCATAAGCTCCTCGCTGCTACCTATTCGCTCTCAAGCATCTCATAGCAGCTCACATCTCCCTAGGCTAAGGCATCACAAATCAGGGCACTCTAGTCCTAATAAGAATACCTAGCCTACTCTAGCAAGAGAATACATCATAAACATATAATATAAGGGTATTTTGGGAAATCACCGTTCGGGCGCTGACTGATCGTACACACGTTTCTTCCTTGAATTTCTCTAAAAATCTTTTACTCTTAGAAAAGTTAAATTTTCTTTTGAAAATATTTTTCCAAATCCTCAGTTTGAGTTCAAATACTCCCGAAGGTGTACCCGAATCCCTCAAACCAAGGCTCTGATACCAAATTGTAACACCGTAAATTTCAAAACAAAATTTTCATAAAACATAATTCATTTAATATTCATAAAACAATCATATTTAATTATCCAATTCAAGTAAATACAAAATCCCAAGATCACAAATGTATAAACTCCGTGTGTGTGTACGGATCAAGCCGGCGCCTTCCCGCGGTCGTCACTAGTACCTGAAACAATAACATCAAACACTGTAAGCACAAAGCTTAGTGAGTTCCCCAAAATACCATATATAACACATATTAGCCACTCGAGGCTATAACTCTGTGGGTCCGTGCACCCAAACTCTGTGAACCCTCAGGTTCTAACTCTGTAAACATGCACAACATAAATCACATAGAAATAATGCAGTACAACACATAACATACATAGCATACAAATACTCTATCACATAACTCTGGTTACCTACTCAAGGTAAAGTATAGTGAGAAGACTCACCTCGTGTGTCTCGGTAAGTCGTGAATCCTGAAATCACTAGTGCTCGATCTCCCGAGCTATAGTCCTCCTAAATCACAATACATCTCTAATTAACACTTTCCCAACTAAGGTTGACTACTCTTAACAAGTCAACTTAGGTCAACGGTCAACGGTCAACTTTGACCGGACTCGGCGAGTGCACTATAGCGACTCGGCGAGTCTGAGCGTATACACTGATTTCCCTGAAATCCTCCCTTGACACGTCGAGTATCTTCCTAACTCGACGAGTTCCACCTGGCATGAGTTGTGGGGCCACCACGACTCAACTCGCCGAGTCTCAAGAACAACTCGGCGAGTCCAGCTTGACTCAGTCCACCTGTCCACTCTGACTTCCCCCTGACTCACTGAGTCAACCCTCCCCAACTCGGCAAGACCACTCGCTGTGTGGTCGGGCAACATTCATACTACTCGCCGAGTCTGTTCTTCGGACTCGGCGAGTCCGTGCCATGCAATGACTCAAACTTGCTCATAAGGTCAGATCCAGTCCATTAACCCATAGATCCAGTCCTTCCAAGCTTATTTAGCACGTAAAGTCACTATTTTTATGCACATACAATCTCTACATGACCATAAATGATGTTTTTGTCTCAAATACTACAACTCTCCATTGCTATACATAAAGCTTGAGGAGTGAGGCTCTCTGGACCTCTATGGATCCAGATCCAGAGCCTCAACACAAGAAGGGAACTATTTGGCATCAAATCATCCCATAAATGTCCATAAGAAACCATAGATCCCATTATACTTCACAAAACAGAAAGTAATCCGAAATCATACCTCTAGATTGATGATCTAAGCTTCAAATCCACAGAATAGCAACCTCCTTTGCTTCCTCTTGCCTAGAATCTTCTCCTTCTTTGCTAAATGACACACACAAGGGTTAAGAATGCTTCCTTTCTCTCTCAAAACGTTCAAGCACTCAAGGGTTTCTCTCTAAGGGTTGGGTGAGCACAAATGACAGCCATAAGGCCCTTTAAATAGGTCTCAATCTTCCGGAAATTAGGGTTTCACCACACAACGTGGACTCGCCGAGTCCACCCTTGGACTCGTCGAGTCCGGACGCGAACCTGTGCCTAAATCCGCGATCCTACTCGGCGAGTTTGAGCTCCAACTCGCCGAGTCCACTCACAATTTCCATAAATAAATCTAAAATAAATACCTGAAAATTCCGGGCTGTTAAATGTTATATCTTGTTAAATGTTTGGTATCACCCATTTGCTCCTGCAAATTCCGGGCTGTTACATCTTTTAAGAAGAAGGAACTTGGAGACCGAGCATTTGTTGGGGTTGAGCTTCTAGATCTAGAGTCTTCATCAACTTTAGGAGCATTTTTTGGTGTGTTTTAGATCTAAGGTATCACCCATTTGCTTCTTTAGATGAATAGTTTTATGACTCCAAATGAATGATTGCCCCTAGTATAACTTTTTCACATGCTTGTGGATTTTGGGTTTTATTGGAGATCAAATTTGGTATGGTGTGTGTTTATATGTGTTTGGTCGGGATGGAGTAGTCTTTAATAGTTGGGATTTAATCATCGGAGGTGAGAGTGGTGCCAAAAAAAGGTAGGTGGCGGTGGAGCCGGAAAAGGAGTATGGTGAAGAAGGGGATGTAGGGAGAGGTAGAAGGGGAGTGTGAGAGGTGGTAGATCCACTAAATTATAGATCTGATTAATTTGATTTTTTTTAATTTATAAATAATAAATAAATATTAAAAAACTGGAAAAAATATAAAGGATAATATAGTCATTTTATGTGTACCAAAAGACATATCATGCAATATATTACGGGATGTTCCTCGTTAATATTGATGAATTGATTATTTTGGATGACAAATTTCCACAAAAATAAATAAATGGCCTGTATGTTTTTTTTTTTTTTTTTTTTTTTTTTTTTTTTTTTTTAATATTATTATTATTTATCACAATGATATCAAAACAAGTCTTTCCTTTTGTTTCTTTACTATGTGGCATCGACATTTTGGTCAAGTTCCTCTTCACAAACTTAAGAAAATTTAACACAATCTTTCTTTATATGGCCATGCATGTCTTCCTTTATCATTTGTTCTCAAGCTAGACAACATCATTTGTCCTCTCCAAAAAGTATCTCTCATTCAGCTAAACTTTTTTACCAAATTCATATAGACACTTTATAAGCATCATACACATGAGACATACATGGGTACATCTGTTGAAAAATAAAAGTGATGCATTCTCTCTCGTTAAAGCGTTTATTTCACTCATTAAACTCAATATGTAAGTGATAATGCTTACGAGTTGGGTTCAATCATTGAACCAAACACATATTTCCAGGTACATGCCATTATACATCAACGAATTACTCATCACACGCCACAACAAAATGACATCGTGGAATGCAATACTAAAGAGATTACAATAATTTATAGCTTTCAACAATTGAGACAATGAAAAACAGAAAAAGAACGCACAAGAGGATGATTAGGAATATTGTGGTTGTGGTTCATCTCCTTATATGGGCACCCTCCTCAACCTGAATACCAATATCTATTTAAATCAACGGTTGTGATCAACTACAAAGAACCATAAAGTTAAATATCTAGATATTTACAGAACATTCTATGTGTACGGGCCTAAAATATTCTTCAATAATTTTCACATGTTATTGGAAATCCGTTAAGTTGTAGAATTCTCCATAATCTTCGAAGCATTTTCCTTCATTTGAAGCATTTAGCATCCAAAAGTGCTTCGCCCTCAAAAGGCTCAAAATCTTCAATCATCTGATTCACACGCTCCTTTTGTGCCTCATCAGAAAGGTCAACCTTGGTCCACTCATAAAGCTCCATGTCATAACACTCATCCATCACAAATTTTGGGATTTCAGTCCCACGGAAAAGCCACAAACCCTTGACCTTGAATGGAGGCTCGTTTCCAATAATCAACATCTTTCCAAACGCGTATTTCCTTGCAAGATCCATACGCTGAAGGAATCCACCAACCTTATTCATGGTCACAAATGAGACAGTGTTCTCATCATTGTACTTGTAGTTGCAAAACCAAAGAGAGTATCCCTCTGGATCATACATGTCCCAAAAACCTTCAACAAAATCAATAAATATATAATATATCAGCCAAGTGTTAGTTTGAAAAGACTGATCTTTTAGGAAAAAATAAAAAAATAAAAAATGAAAATACCTTTGATTGCAACCTCACGGAAGTTAGTTTTGGTGTTTGAGTAAAGCCTCTTCCAGTCATCCAAAACCATAGGACTCGGAGGCAATAAATCAAGAGGATTCTTTGCCTTAGGCTTTGGTGCCTCTTCCTCCTCTGGGGCAACTTCAGGCTTGGGTTTAGGGGCTTCTTCTTTCTTGACTTCCTTTTTAGGCTCGGGTTTTGGTTTATCCTCTGGTTTCTTGGCTGAAGGAATAGGAGGGAGAACTTCTGCTTGTTTGATTTCTCCAAATATCTTTCTCACGTTTGGTTGATTAACCATGGTCCAGAAATACCTCTCAACATGAGGAAACTCAGATGTGAAACTCTTTGTAAACAAAAATTTAAAACCATTCACCAAGTTGCATGTCATGATGATGTCAGCCAAAGTCACGGAATCACCAACCAAAAAAGTACGTGAAGCAAGATGCGTGTTTAGAGCACCAAGACCTCTTTTCACACCAGATATATAACTCTCCTCAGCCTTCAAATCATACACACAAATGTATCATTTAGACCATTTCAAAAAAAATATCAAACTAGCAAAAGAATAATATTAAAAAAACAAAAGAAAAGAGCAGGAGTAACAAACAGATTTGATGTATGTGGCATATCCAAGTCTTGGAAACACCCATGCCCTCATATTTGCGTCAAGCTCCAATGCAGAAAAGTCAACCCACTGCTCAATTTGGCCCTGTATAAAATATATTTTTTTAAATTAAACAAGCTTTTTATATAGAATTATCATTATTCCTTCATCATGATTCAAACTTACATATTCTATCGGTGAAGATCCAAAGAGAGTATTTTCAGGCTTCAAACGAGCAACTTCAACAAACAACATGACAAAATAAGAACCATCAACCATAATAATAATTACAGAAAAAAGATTAGAAATGTTAATGACTATTTTGTCCCTCACCATAGCGAGCAATTGCATTACTCTCAAATATAGGCCCCTCGGGAGTCTCAAGAGCTGGAACCTGCATATCTTACGATGTAAAACATTAAAAAAAAGTTTTAAAATTTTGTAGTAAATATTAATAAGATTAAACCATAAAACAATACCTTTCCAAGAGGGTTCATCTTAAGAAACTCAGGAGTCTTATTTGACTCACCCATTTGAAAATTTTCAGCCATTTTGACTTCAACACCAACATATTCTGCAGCAATTAATGCCTTGCAAACATTCTTGTTTAATTCTGAATGTATAATCTGTAACAAGCACAATACATCAAATGGAAAGGAATCAGTTGACTCAAGAATAAAAATATCAAAGGATCTCAAACCAACAATAGAGCCTCACATTTCATATATCAAAAGCTAAGACGTCGATTCTACCCCACAGAGTAGCATAAAGATAAAAGCCAACAACAACAGAAGTTTCAACAATTAAAATAACTTCAAAAAATTAGAAAATTAAGTGCGTGTCAGCATAGAGAACATAAGGTTGAAAATTGTGATATAACCACAAATAACATTCAGAATAAGGCAAATAATCATGCTAAATAGACACATATTGCTTAATCTCCGACCATATTCTAAATGTTCTAAACCCTAAACCGTTTGGACCCGTTGCTCAGCACGACTAGCCAAAGCATGATCGATTGATTACAAAAAAGTCAAAACAACAGCAATGTCGAAAATTAGAGTAGCTGAAGTGAATGATTGAAGTACTGGTGAGTTCTTCAAATCACGAAGAAGAGGGAGAAAGTTAAAATCAGTAAACTAAACAAAACGATCTACCAAAAATGCACATCAAAAGTTCGAAACCCATATCTGTACGATTTGTAAATAGAACAAGAGATTCATAACAAACTCCACTTAAGAAAAGCATCAACTACTCTTTTCCAAAAAAAAAAAGCATCAACTAATTAAAACTTACACAAAGCAACAATAACTCACCAGCACCATTGCTTAAATGACAAGAGGAACACAGGAATGACCCGCCTTTTGATATCAATCTAGAGTAACAAAGAAAATCCAAGAGTGTATCAGTGTTTAAAGAGAGTGAGACGAACTTTGTTAGGGTTAAGAGTTAAGACAGATGCTTTAAACCCCGGGTTAACCAGGTTGGTCGAATCACTTGGATATTGAAGGGTAAAAAATAACGGTCAATTAAGAGTGATATTTGGTTACCATATATATAAGATATATTAATTACGTGAATATTACTATTTAATTTATTAATTATAGAGAATATTTTTTAAATAAAATACATGAATTATAAAGAATATTCTTTATAATTAAATCATTTCATATTTAATTATGTTAATATATGTCATAATTGATGTTTGTTACGTATGTTCTAAACAAATGTTAGAAAATCTTGTTATTGGCTTAAAATCTAGTTTACTGTGAATAAATTAATAAGGCACACTTTTAGATGATTAAATAAAAAAATAATTTATTACGATGATTCTGAAAAAAAAGTAACTTATGTTTTTTATTTTGTACACATATTATTACATATGTGCAAAATAAAAAACATAAGTGTGTAAATATATACAAATAACATAAATGATTAATTGTGTATAAAAAAATATATCCACAAGTTAAAAAATATTACCCTTTTAAGTTATTATCTCTTTAGAAAATATGTTTGACAAGCAAGAACATGAACCAACTTTTTAAATGCAATGTTACGTTTTTTATTTCTATATAGTTTAATTTAATGTAGTAATTTTAGTATATTATTAGTATATTACATGACATTAAACATCATTATTTGATATTGTAAAAAAAATTATCATGTGTTAATGATAGTAAATTTTGTATGCTAAGCGATTACAAATTTGTTGCATATACACTCTAATGTCTCAATATCCATGATCGTGGTGTGTTTCAATACATCAATTTTATGAACAATTGTTGTTTGATGTTCGAACTATACTTTTTGATATTGTACGTTTTTTTATGTATTTGGCATGATCTTGTACTTGTAGAGATTAATACATGTTGTGGGTTGATCTGTGACCTGTTCGCCGAACTGATGGGTTTTGGTCATAAGACATCCTATGTGCTCATACAATCCCTAATGTTTGGATCTAGGTTTCTCTACTGTACATGCTTTGAATCCAAGACTATAAACCCTAATTCTAGCATATGGAAATCGATATTAACATATAATTAGGTTTAAGATGTTACCTTGATTGTTATGTAGCAATAACAGTCCTAATTCCTCCTAGAATTAGCTTTGGAATGCTTAGAGTCACAAGTGTCACTCCTCTAATGGCTTACAAACACCAAGAGCAAATGGAGAAGGTATAAAGAGAGAGGAGAGAGGTTAGAATTCGTCCTTAGGACTCCTTGGGAAGGGATACACGAATTCATGAGCCTTAGGGCCTTTATATAGGTGTAGAGATAGGGTTTCAGTCATTATCCTTATCTAGTTGCTTATCCACAAAGCAACCCATAAGATAATCCTTGAATCCTTATCATAGTCGAATTCTAAGGCCTTATCACCTCAAATTCGTTCACCCTATATTTAAGATAATCCTTACCTTATTTTGTAACTATCACATAATTACAAATCAACCCTTCTAGTTTAATTAATTACACTTGATCACAAAATTAATTCCTAATTAATTATTGACCAATATTAATTAAACAAATATGATTTCTCCTTTAATATATTATTCTTATAACATATTAATAAATCATATTATCCTCTCTCTCTATATATTTCTCCAATCAAGTTGCTTTGGTGAAGACAACCCAAAAGGACCATGCACCATCGGGTCAAGTACATACCAAAATAGTTATGGACTTAGACATTAATCCAACAGTCTCCCACTTGGATAAGTCTAATAACTATTATGCGTATGACTTCAGATCCAGATCTGCAATCGTAACTTTCCAAAGCCGCTGTCAACTCTGATCATATCAGATACGCGTGTCCTTAGATAAGGGATCATATATTCCTCCATTCTAGATATCATATGAGATATGATTTTTAATCATTCTCTTTGTACTACTTCTCGATTTCTGATTTATGACGACTGACTAATTGAACAAATCAAATTAACCCTAGCCCGGCCGAGCATTTATGTTTGTCATCACTAAACCATCGGGGCCCAAAGATATCGCTTTTATCCTTATTTGGATAAAAGGAACGGATAAACTTTGATACAATGCTTGCTTGAACTCACCCACCGAATTACACACAACAATATGTTTTATAACACCAAGTTATTGGTGCGTTTACATATTATCAATGTGCAACCGATTTGCAAGATACAACTCACACATCTCGGTTTCAAGAATATAAGATGTTATCGTCTCACCAATCACTCGTAATACAATTCATGGAATGATCCAGGTGAGCGTGGGTTTAATCCAATGCTCAAATCATATTCATAAGCACTCATGAATGTTGTAGCAAACATTTGCTTATGTCTAATACTCTTTTAGACAATCCACACACCAATTCACGACAATATTTATTCATACCTACTTCCAACGTATGAATGACTGTGGCCCGTTCGAATAATTCGATTATTCTTAATAAACTCAATTATTCTGGAAGTCAAAACATGCAAAGTGAAACACAAGAATAATACTAATCCCATATGGCCTCAAACCTTTGAGTATAAATAAAACGCCTTTTATTTATCACCATATTGATTACTCATTATTTGTCGTTTTGGTTAATTAACTTCTTACTTGAATTACAACACTTATCCCATGCTCCTAGCATGCACACAATGTTCACCTATGGTTCTTACTTTGTGAAATAGATCACATTGAACACATTTCCAATCATTCTCATTTCACAACTCCGAATCCTTTTTCATAAGTGAAAGAATATCAAATTCTTGCTACTTATAGAATATGTTATATTCTAACATTCTATGCAATGATTCTTTCGTAATGTCACTGCACCAAAGTCACAAAGACTATTGCCAATGATATTACAAAGTCCTCTATCGGAGATTGTTACAAGACAATTCCTTAGATATGATGTCTCTCTCTCTCTCAAAGTACATTCCTTTGAACATCCTTTTGCATAATAGTTTCTAATCTGGACATAGATTTTCAATATTTACTTCCCAATATGGACACGCTTCCATATGTTCCATATGACAACTTATTCTTAATAGAATCTTATCTATTCGTAATGATGTCGATATTGTCCATCCAATATGGAAACATTTCCATAATTTCCAATACTATACTTCCAACTACTCACAAGCGACCAATTCTCGTCGAACTTCGAATCGTCCTTTGATAGTTGTTTAATTATTTTAGTCAAAACCAATTCTAGTCCCTTTTCCCTCTAAATGCGCTGGACATTTGGAAAATTTTAGAATGGTCAAACATTAAAGCATTTGCAATCGATCCTATACGTATGGGACACGACGCACAATGTTTTATTTGCTATGTTCTTAAAATTCGAATTGTGAAAAGGAATGCCGTAATTATAATCGAAATTTGAAGAACACACTATGTACCTTTGACTAAATTTATTAACATTTCTCAACCTAAGCCTTTAGATTTGAAATGAAGCATAATATTCTCTCCCTTAATTATAGCAAAATAACTATACAACCCTTACGACTTTGCAAGGTATAACTCTTGTTTTCTATAATTAATATTGCCAACTTGCAAAACTTTCCATAATAATCATACACTCATAACATTTATGCTCCCACTATTATGATGATTACTATAAAACATAACACTTATGCTTCCACTAGCTTTGACATGTATTCATAAACATGTTAACTTTCAGAAAGACAATACCTATTGAGTTTCTTAAGTCCATGTTTCTAATACTTAGTGCTTTGATAATCTTTTATCAAGGCTTCTTGAACTTATACACCTTTACCTTAGATAGTTCATATGTGTGTCTTAACAATTAAGATTAATTGTCAAACCTCACAATTCAAATTATGGAAAGGGATGTCGTAACCATGATCGAATTCGAGAATGCAATTTTACAATCACTATCTTTCTAAAATCTTTCTTAGTGAAAGCATTTCCTCACAATCATTTTCATGAAGGAGGAAACTTATGACACTTAGATTTAATGGTGTATATGTTCCTATCCATGTGAATTTGTTAAAACCAAAGTTTAAGACAAATTCAAACTCATATGGACCGAACTTTCTTAATCTTGATTTCTTGCCTTATGGTAGCACAACTGCCCACCACGTCTTCCAAGTAGTTAAGCATCTCACCTTTTTCCTATCAATGGACCTTTCATTGATTAAGGTGCCTTGCCTTTTATGCGTTCAAAATGAGAAATCAAAGAACTCGCATGCATAATTAACTCAATTGGAAACAGCACAGAAACAAAATAATGTTAACACGATAGGTTGTAAACCTCAACTCGTGTGCTAGTGATGATCAATAAGGTTTATTTGATTTGTTATTGAAATCTTTCAAGACCATTAAGACTCCCACTGACTCCTTGACATATAAGATTCTCTTGTCATTAACCATTTCTTGACAAACAAATATTCAAGAGTTAGTGTAGCTTTTATCAAAACACTTCATAAATTGGTCCAAGTTGGTCTTTGTCTTATTCAAGACATCACAACTTACCACATTTAATGAATGTTATAAACCTTTAATACATTTTACTCATTGTCACAATCTTAACTTTAAGACTTGTTATTGGAATGAAGTATTATAGACTTCTTGATTTAACCATTTCTTCAATCCTTGATTCCTCTTCTTAAACATACAATTGTACTAAGACATACTTAGAGGATTAATTGAGATATGGTTCTTAATCATTAAGACCCATTATAAAGCATAAAAGCTACTCTCCCTTCTTCTTAGAATGGAGAAACTTTTATCTTTCTACCTACTTGATTCTTCTTATTCGTTCTACTATTGATCTAAACCCTTTAATCAAGTCAGAGTTACACTTAATCTTATAAGTATAATCATATTTACTAAACCTTTAGCAAATCATGACGAATATCTTTGTTACTCTTATGGTGAACTTGATCAACACACAACTTTGTGTACTCGATCTCCTAGTCCTTCACTTGACACTTTGTCAACGAATTAGTCTAATTATCAAATATGAAATTTCTCATTCATCATGCAACCAAGTTGCGTGATTCCAAATTTCTGTCCAATTGAAACTTTGGG